GTAGCGATGATGAAAGCTCATCAAGCTCATCTTTCCAATAAAAGATGTCGTTCATCAAATTCGGTAAGTTATAAGTAATTATAAAGCTACTGTATTTTTTAATTAATTATTGACATTTTTGAACCCATTTTGGCAAAACCTATTCAAGAATCTACTTTCTGACAATGTTCAACCATGCACATTTTTTTACGTTTTGAACGTTTTAATTTGGTTACATATTTACCTAGAAATCAAAAAATATACTAATCAATATTCTAAAAGCAATTTTAAGAGATATACGATTATTTTTAATTTAGGCTAATTTAAACGCCATTTTGAGATTATATTCGACTGTATTTCACCAAACATCAGGCGGCATCCGAAGCTGGAAATCGAAGCGAAAATTTTGAAACCCTTATGTATATTTACATCATTATATATTTCTTACCCCACCCCCACATGATCCTATATCCATCACCAATCGTATACACATCGAATTGTGCTAATTTACTACAAAGTTACGCAAAGCAGCATCTACTATCTAAAATATGTACTGCGTGACTCTTAATACGCCCTGCCGAATGTTACAGCGTTCGATGATCACGTGGTCTTGTTTATGTCCGGTCTATCTCTTATCTGAATATACTGTAGCTTTATTTTGCAGAACTTATAATTTTGAGAATACAGCTTCATTGGCAGTGAACAAGATAGTTGAACAATATAGTAAATGCGGTAGAATAATTGTATTATAAACTATTTTCTTGGAACAGGTACCAAGACTACGAGAAGACCTATAAAAGTAATTTGTCTTTTTGACAATTTTTGAAATAATGTATTCATAGTGATCCTCAAACTTTAGTTTACTATCAATATATATATATATATACCTGAATATTTGATTGATTCAACATTTTCAATTATTTCTCCATTTATCCTAACTGTGCTAGTATTTTCATTTAGGTATTTTAGTTTATTTACGTTTAACCAATTTACGATTTTTGACAAGTCAGAATTTAGCATCTTTCAAGCACTATCTATATTTTCATCTGATATGTATATTAATGTGTCATCTGCAAATATCTGAAGTTTACAATAATCTAAAATATTACAAATGTCATTAATGTATAAAATACATAGTAGTGGAGCTAGTTTAATACCCTGTGGTATACCAAAAGAAATATTTTTTGATCTTGACAATGTAGATCCAATTTTGTTTTTTTGACTTCTGCCAATTAAATAGTTTTGTAGAATTTTGAATACAGATCATTTAAATCCGTAATGATGCAATTTTGTAAGTCATTTATCCCTGTCAATAGTCTCAAACGCCCTTTTGAACTCCAAAAACACGGTTACTGTATGTTTCCGATTGTACATCATCTCCTCCAGTCCTCTAAAACCATTTGTGTTGCCCTTTCAGTTGAGTGTTTCTTCCTGAATCTAGCGTGAAATTTGGTTAAAATGTTATTTCCCTCAATAAATTCGGTGATAATAAATAATTTCTTCAAAAACTTCTTCAACATCAGGCCGCATATAGGTGTACAACTCAGAATTCTTAACTTTAGAAACAAGAGTTATGGCAGAATACTTCAATTTTATATATTATATACCTAATATGGCGTATTACTAATCGGGAATATTTATATATAAAATATTTTAAACAAAGGTTCTAGAGAATTTTATTCTCTACAATACAGTTTATTGTTGCATAACTTTAAGATTCGATAGAACTTTTAAAATTAATGCATAAAGTCTATATAAACATGGGTCGAAAAATGCGTGGCTTCCGAAATACAGGGTGTTCAAATTTACTTTCTAAAATAGTTTTTTTTAAATATTTCGAACAATATTTGATGTATAACAGTGAAAATTGGTATAGAAGGGTTTTTTGGTACGACAAAACGAACCATGGGCATAGTTTTACTGTAGCCGCTAGAGGACGCTCTCTACTGTACCTGTAGTGTATTAAAATGACAGAAAATTTTTTCTTAGTGCAATTTTTTGCTTTTTGAATAAAAAAACTGATTCTTCGCACTTTTCGACATAAAAAAGCTCTCTTGTGAATTTTCGTTATAGTTAGCTGTTTTTGAGATATTTCGATTTTTAAGGTTTGATGTATTTTTAATTACTTATGATAAAATAACGTTAAAAAGTCAGTATCTCGATAATTTTTAGAAGTAGGCTGTGCCTGCAAATATTTTTGAAATTGAAAGCAGAATAAGGTTAAACGTCAATTAGTTGACAGTTAGTTTTGTTGTCTGTTGAAACCTGAAACGTTTTTCTGCAATTGTGAATGCACGAAATTTAGTTTCTTTTACCTGTTTTTTTTTTTGTAAGTTTTATACAAATGCCATTTTTATTCTCCAATCAAGAGTTAGCGGATATTCATTTTGTGTGGCTTTGTAAATGGAAACGCAGCAGAAGCAGCCAGAGAATACGCACGAAGATTTCCAAACAGACGACATCCAACTCGCTCAGTATTTGTAAGAGTGCATCGCCAAATAATTGAAAATGGATTTGGAAATCTCCAAAGGGATCAAAACATAAATATTCGTCAGCGCAGATTTACCCGCATGATTCTGCGTGAGTTTGATAGAGATCCGACCACAAGTGTTAGGAGAGTTTCTGGTGCCTTGGGAATTTCAGCAAGCCACGTTCACCGTGTTTTTAAAAATGACCATAGACGACCTTACCATTTGCAACCTGTGCAATGACTACAGCCAGGGGACGGAGAACGAAGAATCACATTTTGTCAGTGGATTCTTGATAGAACTGATAATAATAGGGAGTTTTTAAGTAACGTTTTATGGACCGATGAGTCATGCTTCACTAGAGGTGGAGTGGTAAATTTTCATAATCAACATATTTGGTCGCATGAAAATCCGTATGCAGTTCGGGAAAGAAATTTTCAGCATGAATTTAGTGTGAATGTGTGAATTGGTATCTACCGTAATCGACTATTTGGACCCTACCTTTTGCCTGCAAGGTTAAATGCTGCGACCTTCTTGGAATTTTTAAAGGCTGAACATGCAGATATGTGGGATGATGTTATGTTAGATTTAAGAGAAGATTGGCCTGGTTCCAGCTTGATGGTGGTCCAGCTCATTATTCGAGAATAGTTAGAAACTGGCTGGACGAAAATTATCCAGAAAGATGGATCGGCCTGGCCTCCACGATCCCCCGACCTAAATCCATTAGATTTCTTTGTGTAGGGATTTCTAAAAGAAAAAGTGTACCAGACTCCCGTAACCACAAGAGATATGCTAATAGACAGAATCAGGAATGCATGTGATGAAATAAGGCCTTATTTGAATAATGCTATACCACGTTCGATCATTCGTAAATGTGAATTGTGTATTGAACAATTGGGCTTACATTTCCAGCAACTACTTTAGATTTTGTATGTTTGTCCTAACTCTCCAATAGCATTTTAGTTGTACATAATTAATTTAACTTGTTAAAAATAATATTGGAAAATTAAGCAAATTAATATTCTGTTTTTTGTGTTTATTTGGAGTTAGGAATTATTGCTGTGTTTAAAAACACAATCTAAACGATCATCTTAATTACTTGTAATGCCCAAATCGAAAATGTAAAAAAATATTATTTTCCCATAAATAATTAAAAATGCATCGAACCTTAAAAATCGAAATATCTCATAAACGGCTAACTATAACGAAAACTCACAGAAGAGTTTTTTGATGTTGAAAAGTGCGAAGAATCATTTTTTTATGCAAAAAGCAAAAAGTTGCACGGTCATTTTAATACACTACAGGTACAGTAGAGAGCGCCCTCTAGCGGCAACAGTAAAACTATGCCCATGGTTCGTTTTGTCGTACCAAAAAACCCTTGTATACCAATTTTCACTGTTATACATCAAATATTCGAAATATTTAAAAGAAACAATTTTAGAAAGTAAATTTAAACACCCTGTATTTCGGAAGCCACGCATTTTTCGACCAATGTTTATATAGACTTTATGCATTAATTTTAAAAGTTCTATCGAATCTTAAAGTTTCTCCATTTATCCTAACTGTGATAGTATTTTCATTTAGGTATTTTAGTTTATTTACGTTCAACCAATTTACGATTTTTGACAAGTCAGAATTTAGCATCTTTAAAGCACTGTCTATATTTTCATCTGATATGTATATTAATGTATCATCTGCAAATATCCGAAGTTTACAATAATCTAAAATATTACAAATGTCATTAATGTATAAAATAAATAGTAGTGGACTTAGTTTACTACCTTGAGGTATACCAAAGGAAGCGATATCTTTGCAAAAAAAAACGATTTTGGTGACATTTAACCTTTTACATACCAAAGCGAGGGGACGAGGTCTTATGAGACTGTTGATATTTCTTTTATGGTGTCAAAATGAAGGTTTCTACAAGTTTACAGCTTAGTATCTCTCATTCCGAGCTTAACCCGCTTTCAGGGTTAAGTGAAGAACAGATGTGTGTCACATCAGTGGCGCACATCTGAGAAGTTCATCCTTCGCCAAACTCTCTTTTTTATATAAATGCAAGTTTATTTGTTGATGTTTGGCGAATAAATTATTATCATTACATAACTGGACCATTAACCTTGTATGAATGGCGAGCCTTTGATTTTTTTTAACTGTACGTCCTGTAGAGCCAGCACGGAAGAATGCACGTACAATCCTGCTTATATCTAACATTTTATAACCACTGATGTCACGTGCCTATACAGCTTTCTGTAGATTAAAAAAATCATCCACCATTGTTATTAAACGTTATGTTAGTCATTAGCATTCAATCAAGGTTGCAAGGAAATGTATACTTAGTAAACGCACACGTTTTTTTACACCATCATTCATGTTTGATCGCAGCTGTACCAATATTATACTTTTTGCATCGGGGTCTTAATGGTAAGAGGTGTATAAATTGTGAAATGTATACTGCAGTAGTTATAAGGACATAGTACAGGAAAAATATTAAAAAAAAAATCTGCATATTTGCATGCCCAAAAAGCAGTATTATTGATACATTTTACTTACACTTCGATCTCGTAATCAAGCGGTTTTTCGTTAATGTAGATGGTGATACAAGCTTGTGGCACAGCAGTCGCCCTAACGTATCTGTACTTAATCGTTCTCGTTATACTCATTCCAGATGCAATGTATCGTCCTCTGGGCAAAGGTTTCATTTCAAAAGACTGCAAAATCAGAATGAAATATAATCCCAACAAATACCATTTTCTTTTGGTGAGACCAAATATACTAACCGGCCACACTCCCTTTAACTCGAGAACACCGACGTAATCGCCTTGAGTGGTGCAACCAACGGTCACTATGGGATCAGGAATGGAACAGTATTGTCTTTAGTGACGAGTCTCGATTTTGTTTAGGCATGCACGATGGTCGTGCCAGGGTTAGAAGGCGACGTGGTGAAAGGAGGAATCCACAGTTTTTTGTTGAAAGACATGTTCATCACACTGTTGGAGTTATGGTTTGGGGTGCTATAGCTTATGGTTTCAGGTCACCTTTAATCTTCATCAGAGGTAACATGAACGCGCAGCGTTATATCCATGAAGTTCTAGAACCCCATCTTTTACCTTATCTTGACACCCTGGCAGATCCAGCTTTCCAACAAGATAATGCCCGACCACATGCTGCAAGAGTCACAATAGACTTCTTTCAACATAATGATGTCACATTGTTACCATGGCCACCAAGATCTCCCGACTTATCCCCAATTGAGCACGTGTGGGATATGATGGGTAGGAGATTGCTCAATTTGCAACGTCCTCCTCAGACTCTAGAAGCACTTCGAGAGGAGTTGGTGGTTGCCTGGAATGAGATACCACAGGAGGAAATTGACCACCTGATCAGAAGCATGCCTAGGCGCGTTGGAGAATGCGTAGCACATCAGGGTGCATCCACACATTATTAAAGGTCAAAGGGCTTTAAAGCAGTGCAATCATTTTGAAATTTGTATCATTTACTTATTATGCTTCATTAAGTACTTATACAAACTCTTATTAAAATAAAACCATTTAAACTGGGTGTTCGGATTTATATGTCACTTAGTATAATTTAGACAATAGAACGGTTTTTATGTTTTTACTTAAAAATGGCGCATCGAAGGAAAACAATTCAAGAGAGATCATTTGTTTAAAATTGAACGGGGAATTCAAAAATAATTTATATTTGGCGGACGATTTCTTTCTTAAAACATGTCGAAGTCAATACTCGTAAGCAAGCCACTATGAAAGCTAAACATTATTTTTGCATTGAAAAATATGCAACTTTATTAACTTTCACTACGTACTAAATATCAGTCAAATATTCAGTGGTTCTGAAAGTATTAATTAATTTTAATTTTTTTCCTAAAACTTCAAAACTCCGTGTTATTGTCATCATTAAGGAACACCCAGTATTTGATATGGGGATTTTTTCGAAGAATTTTTTTTAATTGAAAAGTATTACATTGAGATATGAAACATTGCGTTTTATGTAGGAGATCTTGTGTAATTTTTGATAAAAGAAAATAACTTCAAATTAAAAAAAACCTTAAGTCATTGAATTTTTTAAACATACACCAGATCATTCAAGAGGCAAATTTAGTTCTCTTATATAAAACGATCATTAAAATTGTACAACAATCTGTGTATTAATATAAAAACATTTAGTAATTCTATTATTTTTAAGACTTCGTAGACTCTGTTTTGGGTTGATGCGACACTTCGTGAATTTGACACATTTTTTGTAAATAATATTATTGTTTGAAGTAGCTTAAGCTAAATAATTTCTTTTCCATTCTATTCCAATCGTTCCAACTTATTCATTTTAGGCGACGCGGCTTAGAACAGCTAAATGATGACGTCTCGAACTGACCTTTTGTGACGTCACTGTTACTGACAGTTAAGACAATAACAACCTTGCACGGATGGTGGTTTATGCAGGTCTGAATGTCAATTTTCAAACCAAAAATACATATATACTAAGTGATATATAAATCCGAACACCCAGTTTAAATGGTCTTATTTGAATAAAAGTTGGTGAATGTATTTATCTTACTGTAAATAACAAGTGAAAAAATTTTCAGCCTTAACAGTTGGACATTCCGGTTTTTATACTGCTTTTTTTAATTCACTAACGCTCTAAAAATGAATATTTCAGCCGCAGTAAAGAATCAACATTGGCGGATTTTGGTTCTTGACATCCTTTACGATCGGTTACGATGCCTAGAGTACGAAGACCTGTACGATTTCGTCAACTTAGTGAGTTTAATAGGGGCTGAATAGTGGGACTTCGGGAAGCTGGACTTTCTTTTCGGGCAATTGCAGTTAGAGTGCAAAGAAGTGTAGACACTGTCAGGCATGGCTTCGAGAAGGCCGTACGCAAAGAGCAAGGGGCACTGGACGCCGCCGTAGAACAACAGACCGTGAAGATCGCCGCCTAAGATTATTGGTCTTAAGGGACCGTTTCTCCACTACCAAATCCATTGCAAATGAATGGTTTGCAGAACACGGAAGACCTATTGGCATGCGAAGTGTTTACCGACGAATGAGAAGTTTTGGCTTGTTTTCATACCGGCCACACTGGGTCCTCCCTTTAACTCGAGAACACCGACGTAATCGCCTTGAGTGGTGCAAACAACGGTCACTCTGTGATCAGGAATGGAACAGTATGTTCATCACACTGTTGGAGTTATGGTTTGGGGTGCTATAGCTATAATGATGTCACATTGTTACCATGGCCACCAAGATCTCCCGACTTATCCCCAATTGAGCACGTGTGGGATATGACGGGTAGGAGATTGCTGAATTTGCAACGTCCTCCTCAGACTCTAGAAGCACTTCGAGAGGAGTTGGTGGTTGCCTGGAATGAGATACCACAGGAGGACATTGACCACCTGATCAGAAGCATGCCTAGACGCGTTGGAGAATGCGTAGCACATCAGGGTGCATCCACACATTATTAAAGTTCAAAGGGCTTTAAAGCAGTGCAATCATTTTGAAATTTTTATCATTTACTTATTATGCTTCATTGAGTACTTATACAAAATTTTATTAAAATACAACCATTTAAACTGGGTGTTCGGATTTATATGTCACATAGCATAACTTAAACGATTCCTATTCTTTTGTGTCTTATGTAAAAAGCTATCATTGGGAAAAAAACGATATCAGATGGCAACAGGCGTAGAACTATTGAGTTCCTATAGAGTCATGCAGTTTTTTTTTGGCACAATTCAAACAAATAATTAGCTATGTTGCTTATATTACAGTAAGGTATTTATGTTTAAATTATATTTATAATCATTGATGGTCCACAAAACCGTTGCGTATAGCAACCCTGTTCTCAGCGCTCTGTTCTGTGTCAAAAGGCAAATGACAGAATAATCAAGGACATAATCAAGGAATATCCGCAGTTCAACATCGCTTAAAATTGCTTATGGTTTCCTATCCTCTTCTCTTCTTCATTGACAGACAATAACACGAGATTAGAAAGTGAATATACTTTATGTTCTTTTGGGAGGCGAATTCAAAATAAACTGCACCAATTTCATGAACAGAAAATGCTATTAGAAACTAAATCCACCCACCAAACGTATGAGTATTAAATCCAGTTTGATAACAAAGAAAAGAAACATGATTTTTTCTGCGTTACCTTTGAAGATGGTCGAAATATTCTAACCAAAGCAGGATATTTGCCAGCGTTCAGTATTTTGAATGTCTGTAGATATCCTTTTCCTTCATAAGCGTTGTTAAAGATCATTTTACTCGGTATGATTCGAACATTATCCAGCTCCTGAAAATAGTGTCAGATGCCAGAAATTTTAATTATACAGGGTGAATCAGAAATCGAGATTTATTGGTCTAGAAAATATAGCTACGGTATTTCATGCCCGTAAAACACGAAAACCTCGGAACCCGGCTGTCTGAATGGACTTTTTGGATTCTTTGTGGAACGCATTTTTTGCTTTTCCATTGCAACTATTTTCTTAAATTCGATTGTCTATATGCACGCCTATACTAAGTGACATATAAATCCGAACACCCAGTTTAATTGGTTTTATTTTAATAAGCATAATAAGTAAATGATAAAAATTTCAAAATGATTGCACTGCTTTAAAGCCCTTTGACCTTTAATAATGTGTGGATGCACCCTGATGTGCTACGCATTCTCCAACGCGCCTAGGCATGCTTCTGATCAGGTGGTGAATATCCTCCTGTGGTATCTCATTCCGGGCAACCACCAGCTCCTTTCGAAGTACTTCTAGAGTCTGAGGAGGACGTTGCAAATTGAGCAATCTCCTACCCATCATATCCCACACGTGCTCAATTGGGGATAAGTCGGGAGATCTTGGTGGCCATGGTAACAATGTGACATCATTATGTTGAAAGAAGTCTATTGTGACTCTTGCAACATGTGGTCGGGCATTATCTTGTTGGAAAGTTGGATCTGCCAGGGTGTCAAGATAGGGTAAAAGATGGGGTTCTAGAACTTCGTGGATATAACGCTGTGCGTTCATGTTACCTCTGATGAAGATTAAAGGTGACCTGGAACAATAAGCTATAGCACCCCAGACCATAACTCCAACAGTGTGATGAACATGTGTTTCAACAAAAAACTGTGGATTCCTCCTTTCACCACGTCGCCTGCTAACCCTGGCACGACCATCGTGCATGCCTAAACAAAATCGAAACTCGTCACTAAAGACAATACTGTTCCATTCCTGATCCCAGAGTGACCGTTGTCTGCACCACTCAAGGCGATTACGTCGGTGTTCTCGAGTTAAAGGGAGGATCCAGTGTGGCCGGTATGAAAACAAGCCAAAACTTCTCATTCGTCGGTAAACACTTCGCATGCCAATAGGTGTTCCTTGTTCTACAAACCATTCATTTGCAATGGACCTGGTAGGCCAGTAATCTTAGGCGGCGATCTTCACGGTCTGTTGTTCTACGGCGGCGTCCAGTGCCCCTTGCTCTTTGCGTACGGCCTTCTCGAAGCCATGCCTGACAACACCTAACCACAGTGTCTACACTTCTTTGCACTCTAACTGCAATTGCCCCAAAAAGAAAGTCCAGCTTCCCGAAGTCCCACTATACGGCCCCTATCAAACTCACTAAGTTAACGAAATCGTACAGGTCTCCGTACTCTAGGCATCGTAACCGATCGTAAAGGATGTCAAGAACCAAAATCCGCCAACGTTGATTCTTTACTGAGGCTGAAATATTCATTTTTAGAGCGTTAGTGAATTAAAAAAAAGCAGTATAAAAACCGGATTGTCCAACTGATAACGCTGAACATTTTTTCACTTGTTATTTACAGTAAGATAAATACAACTTTTATTAAAATAAAACCATTTAAACTGGGTGTTCGGATTTATGTGTCACTTAGTATATTTGAGTGAAACGTTTGAAGGGTACATGGAAAAAAAGATGAATGTCACAAAAGGTAAGTTTTGAGAAAAGTGAATTTAAAGGTTTGAAGACTCATAGACTCGTTGTACAGGGTGGGTCAAAGATCTAATGGAGATTCCGTATTATAAGAAATAGAAAAAAATTCAAATATAAATGAATAAGGATTTTCTGATATACAGCGTAGCTCAACGTGAAACCAAACATTTTTTAACGGAAAATCCTTTTTATTTGTGTATTTTGAGATTCTCCATATGATTTTAAACATTTTTTTGTGCTATTCAAAAGTATTTTTTTTCAATTGCGACATGAACAAACCGTGAACCAATAAAATGTTTATTCAAAAGAATATAGAACGAATAAAACAAAATTAATGGTAACTGCTAAAAAATTATTACTTTCGTCGCAGATTGGTGCATGGAAAATTGTTTCAGTGACGATCAGTGGACGTTCATCTTGTTTCCATACAACGGCTGTGACATTCATCTTTTTCCCTGCACCGCAGTTTTCAATGGGTACAACAACGAACTGTCATTGTTTTTACGTGTTTCCGATACCTCATGGGATTCCACCAAATTTGTTACCTGTACCTTCCATTTGTCTACTTCATAATAGGGCCATTAGAGTGTTTATATTTTACATTTTACCTTTAAGATGATGTCTACGAAGTAGCTCAAAGCCCTGACTGTTTTTATGCAAATCATAAACGTAACTAAAAAAAATCAAACTCTAAGATCTCGTAGTACCTAATTTGTACCACAATTGCTCTTGAAGATGTTTTATTTTTTTAAACTTTTCATGCAGAAAAAGAATCGACATAACGTGGGTTATCACGATCTGCGTTCTTACACCTTCTTATCCTACCTTGTAGCTTGTGCAGATGGGGCGACTGGACTCAACGGAACTGCCACGTAAATCGGTGGTACTGCTGAAAGTGGTGCTATTCGAACGGTCCAAGAAATCATCGGGCTTGAACATATCGTGCAGATTGCCGGCATGACTGATCACAGAAACTCGGGGGGCGGAAAAGTGGTCTACCATTTGTCTCAATACAAAATTGTATAACAGGTATAAAAATGACTGGCTGCTGAAGCTGTAACTCAAAATTGAAGTTTAGGTTATCGATCTGTCAGTGGTGAGGCTCGGACTGATAGTAAGGGGATGAAGTTATAGGTTATTATATCTAGGAGCAATCTTATGTAAAACGCTAAAGTGGAATTCGAATCTGGGAACAATCCCTAACAAAACAAGGACTTGCTTGAGATTCAAAGCTAGAAAAGTTTTTCTCACAAGTTCTGGAAATTAAATATGCAAATTTGGTGAATTTAAAAAATGAGACAGATAAGAAATAATTATATTCAGTGTATACTGTCGAATTAAAAGTCATATACATGCTAACAATTACACACAGCGCGAGCGCGTTGGTGATTTCCCGTAATTCTCCTAAAGGTTTTTGAAGACACAAAGAAACGTAAAAAAGTAATTTAAAACTTTGAACATATCCTGTCTTCAGAAAGGACAACATATAAATAACCCATCGGGCACAGCTAGATAGATAGATATACTCCATTGACAGCATATTCAGTGATAATTCAAATATCAGTAATTCTACAGGGTTACTTCGAAGTTGAGTCATTTATTTTAACAGTGAGTAGATCTGATCAAAAGAAATGTTTTTTCCTTTACCATTTTTCTGGTAAAATTAAAGTAACAAAGTTATAGCCCTTTGGAAGTTTGAGTACCGCACTGTCTCAATAATAATATTATGTGCTCGTGTTTGGCGACAACGGATATAATCCGCCTTATCGGTTTATCGCATCGGAAACAAAAGAGCCAAAGAATTTGGAACGATGTTTTTACAATTATTTCATTCAGCTGTATACAGTCAGTGTCAGTCGGTAGTGGATAGTGGTGTCTGTTGCGTGGCTCAAACGAAATAAAAAATGGCACATGTTTATGCGGATCGGTTTCCCAATCGAGTGCAACCAACCCCTCGTGCCTTTGTTAATGTAGTACAACGGGTTCGTGAATCAGGTGACTTAAGACCTCACATATGGACGGCATGCCGGTGCAGAAATTTTCTGACGAATGTCTGCAGGAAGAAAAACTCCTGACGTTCCAATAACTTGTTTTAGATTCATCCATTGAAATTTGGCCAGGCACTCTTTAACATCTTGTACATTCTGCACCGCCCCGTATCTATATCGTCATCCTTTTTACTAGTTATATCTATAGAGACAATCGTGAGAACCTCTTCCCATGTATGTCCCTTCCCTAAACCGTCTGATCGCCGCACCGTCTGTCCTACGTTCCCTCAGGACTCGACTCTCTGTTCCGTAACGCAATTAGCCAGAATCATCCAGGGTCGGCCATCCTCAGGGACCCATACGAGCCGTACGTAGGTACACGCAAATCCAACGCGGTTGTCACTAGGGGAAGAGATATGTACGTGGGAGCAGGGCGAAACATGTCGATAGGTTTATGCGTATTTGGCACGATGTCTTTGAGAGATGACGTCAAGTAGCGTGATTCAATTACTTCCACTCCTTCGTTAAGGTTTCGGATACACTTTTCAATGCAGGGTGTTTTCAAAGTTGAGCCATTTATTTTGAATGCTTGTAGAGGACTCTTCAAAAGGAGTTGATATACCAAAAATCACCTATACAGGGTGTTTCAGTTTATTGTTGCATAACTTTAAGATTCGATAGAACTTTTAAAATTAATGCATAAAGTCTATATAAACATGGGTCGAAAAATGCGTGGCTTCCGAAATACAGGGTGTTTAAATTTACTTTCTAAAATAGTATTTTTTTAAATATTTCGAACAATATTTGATGTATAATAGTGAAAATTGGTATACAAGGGTTTTTTGGTACGACAAAACGAACCATGGGCATAGTTTTACTGTAGCCGCTAGAGGGCGCTCTCTACTGTACCTGTAGTGTATTAAAATGACCGAAAAATTTTTCTTAGTGCAATTTTTTGCTTTTTGAATAAAAATACTGATTCTTCGCACTTTTCAACATAAAAAATCTCTCCTGTGCGTTTTCGTTATAGTTAGCCGTTTTTGAGATATTTCGATTTTTAAGGTTCGATGCACTTTTAATTGTGATATTTTAGACCGCTCAAATCACAATGAAACTTTCAGTAGTTTAGCAAGTGAATATGGCGTAGGCCGATCTACAATTCATGTCATTAAAATAAACCACGAGAAGATCAAGAAGTTCGTGTCAACTACTGACTGCGGGCCAGGCAAGAGACAGTCACTCAAGAAAACTGAACATCCAGAAGTGGAAGAAGCTTTCTACATGTGGTTTCTTCAGGAAAGAAATAGGCATGCAATAATTTCAGGACCGATGTTGGCCATTAAAGCTAAGTTTTTTTATAAGGAAATAACAAAAAAAGATGATTTTGTGGCTAGCAAAGGATGGCTAGAACGTCGTCATGGCATGCGTTTAATAACTATTATAGGAGAGAAACTTTCTAACGATGCAACCTGCATAGAGCCCTTTAAATTAAGATTTTTGCAAAAGGTGAACGATTTAAATCTTGACCCATCACAGGTGTACAATGCAGACGAATCAGGGCTTTTTTAGCGTGTGATGCCTAACAAAACTTTCGTTTCTTGTAACGAAAAATCCGTACCTGGACACACACGCGTTTAAGATGATGGTCATTGGGAAATCTAATAAACCACGGGCATTCAAAAACATTTATTTACCGGTACACTATTACGGACAAAAAAGTGCATGGTTGACAAAAGACCTTTTCAAAAAGCGGTTTGATGAATGCTTCGTACCTGAAGTTAGAAAATGGTTAAAAGATCATAATTTTCCTCAAAAAGTTTTGTTGCTTCTTGATAACGCTCCCGGTCATCCGTCTGAAGAAGAACTAACAACTGAGGATAAATGCATCACTGCGAAGTTTCTTCCGCCAAATTGCACTGCACTGATTCAACCAATGGACCAGAATATCATTCAGTTTGTCAACCAAAACTATAAGAAAGACCTACTTCTGAGAGCCGTATCAAAAGACCAAGAAAAAACTTTAAAAGAATTTAATATGAAAGAAATGGTTTTTGCTCTTTGTCAGTCGTGGAATGCGTTACCGTCATCAACTATTAAATCGGCTTGGAAAAAGTTATGGCCAGATATGGTCACCACTCTTAGCAACGTTCCACAAATCAGTGTTACTTCGGAAGTTATAGAACAAGTCGCTACTGAAATTCAGATAAGTCCGGAAGATTTGGAAATCTGGTGCCGTGGAATGGATAAAGAGGAAAATGTTTTGCATGAAATCTCTGACGAAGAAATTAGAAAAGAGGTTTCTAATTATACAACAAACAATCAGGAAAATAACGACGACGTGATTGCAACTGCTCCACAAGTCACAGCACAAGACGCAATTAACGCGTTTGAGCTAGGTTTACAATGGGCTGAAGAGAATGGTATATCCTACAACGAACTTTTACTTTTGAGAAGACTGAGGGACAAAGCTCTTATCTCGCCCTATAACAACCTTAAAACAAACAAAAAATTGATGAAAATTTCCAAGCTTCAAAATTCATTAATGATTTTGATTAATAATTCTTGATTATTTTGGTACATATGTATGTGCATTTATGCTCAATTTTATAATAAAACGTTGTTATTTAATTTACTACATTCGACATACATAAAGTATGTTGTATGATTTGTACTTCAAAGTACATACATATACATACTACATACATTAATTCCAAGCCTTACATTTGCACCCTATACTACATGTCTGCAATAATTTTGCAAACTTTTCGATCGTGTCGAAGAAGCACAAATCATTTATTCTTAGTACGGCCCTGTAACGTGCTCGGCGTTCTGTAGCGCGTTCACGTGGAGTATACTTAAATATGTTTAGGTTTGGTCTCTTTCTTCGATCGATACATAATAGCTTTCAGGGTACTGCTACCGAGATCACAAATATCTGAATGATAAGATATCTCCACTGATAGCAAAGATGCAACATTCACAACTCTCTTCAAGCCTCATCCCTCAATTTTTGATTTTAATTACAGACTGGAATGGCAAAACCTTCTCTCACCCATCAATTCAACTGTTCATTGTAAAATAAGAAGATAAAAGAACGTGTCTCTTTTCAGCTTGTATTGCATGTAAATGATAATAAGAGAGAAAGCGTTTCTGTGAGGATATCAACCTTTATCTCATCAGTTATAATTGAGTATTATTAAATAAATTTCATCATAATCGTCAGCATCACGTAATGTAACGGTGCCTATCGAAATAATTTCGAAGTGGACAGTGAAAGCAGGTGTGGACGTCGATAATTATTATGCTAGGAGATTCCATAGGGAAATAAGTCGTAAAATGTAGAATAGTATAGGTAAATTGAACTGTGTAATTACTCCAGGCCATAGGTATGATTTTTAAGTATCAAGATCACAGCTAACCGTGTTAAAATTTGAGGCATAATTGAAGTATGTATACTAAGTGACATATAAATCCGAACACCCAGTTTAAATGGTTTTATTTTAATAAAAGTTGGTGAATGTATTTATCTTACTGTAAATAACAAGTGAAAAAATGTTCAGCCTTATCAGTTGGACATTCCGGTTTTTATACTGCTTTTTTTTAATTCACTAACGCTCTAAAAATGAATATTTCAGCCGCAGTAAAGAATCAACGTTGGCAGATTTTGGTTCTTGACATCCTTTACGATCGGTTACGATGCCTAGAGTACGGAGACCTGTACGATTTCGTCAACTTGGTGAGTTTGATAGGGGCCGTATAGTGGGACTTCGGGAAGCTGATCTTTCTTTTCGCAGTTAGAGTGCAAAGAAGTGTAGACACTGTGGTTAGGTGTTGTCAGGCATGGCTTCGAGAAGGCCGTACGCAAAGAGCAAGGGGCACTGGACGCCGCCGTAGAACAACAGACCGTGAAGATCGCCGCCTAAGATTATTGGCCTTAAGGGACCGTTTTTCCACTACCAGGTCCATTGCAAATGAATGGTTTGCAGAACACGGAAGACCTATTGAGAGTATGAGAAGTTTTGGCTTGTTTTCATACTCGAGAACACCGACGTAATCGTCTTGAGTGGTGCAGACAATGGTCAGTCTGGGAT